AACCCCTCTCTCTCTCAGTGCAGTGTTCATGTACTGGAGTGTCCAGTCAGGTGTGTCTGTATTAACCCCTCTCTCTCTCAGTGCAGTGTTAATGTACTGTAGTGTCCAGTCAGTGTGTCTGGACTGTATTAACCCCTCTCTCTCAGTGCAGTGTTAATGTACTGTAGTGTCCAGTCAGTGTGTCTGTATTAACCCCTCTCTCTCTCTCAGTGCAGTGTTAATATACTGGAGTGTCCAGGCAGTGTGTCTGTATGAACCCCCCTCTCTCAGTGCAGTGTTAATGTACTGGAGTGTCCAGTCAGTGTGTCTGTATTAACCCCTCTCTCTCTCAGGGGAGTGTTAATGTACTGGAGTGTCCAGTCAGGTGTGTATTCACATTTCTCTCTCTCAGGGATGCAGTACTCTGTACTGTACATGGTGTCGGAGTGTATCCTGTCAGTGCTGCTGCTGGGGATGTGGATCTCTCTCTGTGCCTGCAGAGTAGGAGGGAGGCTGGGGAGAGGGCGGGCCCAGGGGCGGGACCAGAGGAGGCTGGGCGTGTCCATGTGTCTGTGGGTGTGTATGGGCGGGGCCAGTGTGGGAGTGGCACTGCTGGGCATTCCCCTGTCTGTGGTGCTGAACCTGCAGCGCCCGCTGTGCCTCTACAACTGCCTGCTCATGGCCTGCTGCCCCCTAGTGGCAGGGCAGTTCTCCACTTTCCTGCTGCTGCTGGTGGTCCTGAACCTGCACCTCAAGGTCCGGCTCCCCACGTGGTGAGTAGTCCGGCCCACTTCACGAGCTGCCTGATCCGCGCGTCTCCGACGGCACTCCTCACCCCCCTTCCCTGTGCACCCCCTCTCGCCCAGGTACCCCGCGCTGGTGACCCGCAGACGGGCCCTGTACTTGGTGTTCCTGTGCTGGCTCGGGTCGGTGCTGCTGGGTTTTGCCCCCCTGATGGGCTGGAGCTCGCTGCCCGGGGGCTCCACAGAGGGGGGTCTGGAAGGGGGAGGGGGGGGCACCGCGGGGCTGGGGCTGGGGCAGCTGGGCAACTGGACCCCCCCCGCACCCCCCGCCTTCCTGCCGGCCCCCCAGGACCGCACCATCATCGGGCAGTTCCTGCCGTACGGCGGCTTCCTGTCCAAGGTGTACTTCCAGGACCAGCGGAACCTCAGCTACGAGGAGATCCACGGGCGGCACCTGGGCCTGTGCGAGCCGGAGCCGGCGCTGGGCCTGCGCTACCTGGTCTACGTGCACGCCGTCGCTGCCTTCCTGCTCCCCCTGCTGGCCATGCTGGGCGCCTACGCCGCCGCGCTGCGCCTC